TNTNTATATATATATATATATTATTATTATTATTATATATATATATATATATATATATATATATATATATATATATATATATATTTATAGTTGTATTTATGTATCGATTTATATATATAAATACATGTACCTATCTATAGATCTATATTTCTATATCTGCATATTTCGAACACACAGAACGAACTCAAAAGCGTACCGTGTCTCTCACACCTGTGTGACATATCTTTGTTCACGTATGTAGAAAGCCATAGAAACAGTCACTCAGGCCACAGAGCAAGACCGCCTGGAGAACTATGAGGAGGCGTATCGTCTGTACAATTCTGCTCTGGAGTACTTTATGCTAGCCATCAAGTGTATGTGTGTAATGGCCATCAAGTGTATGTGTGTAATGGCCATCAAGTGTATGTGTGTAATGACCATCAAGTGTATGTGTGTAATGGCCATCAAGTGTATGTGTGTAATGGCCCGTCCCTGCTTGTATCGCGTATGTATGTGATGTGTATGAAACATGTTTGGAATATGTATGTAATGTGTATGTAGCATTTATTGTACATGTATGTAATGTGTATGAAACATGTTTTGGATATGTATGTAATGTGTATGTAGCATTTATTGTATATGTATGTAGTGTGCATGTAGCATGTTTTGCACATGTATGTAGTGTGTAAGTAGTGTGCATTCCATTAAGTGTGATCTGTTGTGTAAGTCTGTCTCCACATCGTCTGTCTCTGCTCAGGTGTACAGCCAACCCCTGTGCATTCTAATAAGTTGTTGCCCCAACCCAGCCTGTGCTCGCCGCCATTAGAATGTATTTAAGGTTTAGAAAATGTATCTGATAAACCCTAAACCCAAAATGTGTGTGTGCGTGATATATGCACTCACGTACACCGCAGCCTTATTCTAGTTGTGTGTCTGTGTCTGTGTCTGTGTCTGTGTCTGTGTATGTGTGTGTGTGTGTGTGTCTGTGTGTGTGTGTGTGTGTCTGTGCCTGTGTGTGTGTCTTTGTCTGTGTGTGTGCCTTTGTGTGTGTGTTAGACATTATTCATGCGCTCACGATGGAGTATTTGCTCTAGTTTGAGCTGGGGTGTTGTTTAGGGATTAGAGTTTTCTATTCTGTGTTGTTTAGGCATTAGGGTTTTCCTATTCTTGGATTTTCAGGATTTAAGGTTTCTATCTCTTAGATTTTAGGGGTTACTTCTATTTTTGGAATTTAGGGTTCAGGGTTTAGGGTTTTTCTATTCTTAGATTTTAGGGTTTAGGGTTTTTATATTCTTGAATTTTAGAGTTTAGGGTTTTAGGGGTTATAAACCTAAACCTCTTCAATGTGAAGTATACGACGTATCATTGTCTGTGTGAATTATTTTATGAGTTTCGCCGAAACGTTCCATGTGCTAGCCGTATGGGTTCTAGGGTGTAGGGTGTAGGGTTTTGTGGATTTTAGGGTTTTCTATCTCAATGGGTGTCAGATGATAATAACACTCATACCTACCACAAACAGTGTGTCTATGCCATTGCACTGCGTGTCAGATGATAGGAACACTCATACCTACCACTAACAGTGTTGTGTCTATGCTATCTTTATGCGTGTCAGATGATAAGAACCCTCGCAGTGTCGAGTCGCTCAGACAGAAGTGCAGTGAGTATATGAACCGTGCGGAGACGCTGAAGGAGTACATCAACAACAAGTCACACAAAGCTGAGGCGGCAGGAAGGAATGGGGGGACAGCCGATGACGATGATAAGGAGACGAGTGAGATGCGAGAGGCGCTGGAGGGCGCCATTGTGGCCGAGAAGCCTAATGTCAAGGTGGGTCTGTGGTCGTGAAAACCCTAGAACCCTAACGTCAAGGTGTGTCTGTGTTCGTGAAAACCCTAGAACCCTAATGTCAAGGTGTGAGCTTGGTCATGTACTTCACTGGTAGTGTAATTATTGTAGGATTTAGGGTTTAGGTTAGTAGAATGATTTTAGGGTTTAGGGTTTAGTAAGTGGACTGGTTTGTATGGCCTCGCCGAGTGTATTGTACGACGGGTGTCCTCATATGATCACCAAAATACACTCTTGACCAAGCATACGCACTGGGACGATACGAGTGACCTCAATAGCTCACTATGTTTATTCATTTATCTATTTATTCGTTTATTAGTTTGTTTATTTGCTTATTTATTTATTTATTTATTCATTTATTTAAAATATAT